GCTCTAAGAGATTCTATTAGAAATCGCTCTATTAGAATAACATTATATCATGTTCAGTTAAGTTTAAAAAAATATCACGAAAACGAAAATCAAAAATTTAACTTAAAATCCAAGATGGCGAGGGTAGAAGCCTCTTACCTCTACCCTCGACATCTAGGATTCTAAATTAAATTTTTAATTTGTGTCTTCTCGATGTTTTATTATACTTGACTAGCTTTTGATAATGTAATATTATTAGACAGCACAATACCTTACAAAAAAAAGTAGAAAATAAGGATTCGCTCTATTAGATATCGCTCTAAGAGATTCTATTAGAAATCGCTCTATTAGAATAACATTATATCATGTTCAGTTAAGTTTAAAAAAATATCACGAAAACGAAAATCAAAAATTTAACTTAAAATCCAAGATGGCGAGGGTAGAAGCCTCTTACCTCTACCCTCGACATCTAGGATTCTAAATTAAATTTTTAATTTGTGTCTTCTCGATGTTTTATTATACTTGACTAGCTTTTGATAATGTAATATTATTAGACAGCACAATACCTTACAAAAAAAAGTAGAAAATAAGGATTCGCTCTATTAGATATCGCTCTAAGAGATTCTATTAGAAATCGCTCTATTAGAATAACATTATATCATGTTCAGTTAAGTTTAAAAAAATATCACGAAAACGAAAATCAAAAATTTAACTTAAAATCCAAGATGGCGAGGGAGGAAGCTTCTTACCTCTACCCTCGACATCTAGGATTCTAAATTAAATTTTTAATTTGTGTCTTCTCGATGTTTTATTATACTTGACAAACTTTTGATAATGTAATATTATTAGACAGCACAATACCTAACAAAGAAAGTAGAAAATAAAGGATTCGCTCGATTAGATATCGCTGTAACAGATTCTGTTAGATGTCGCTATAAGATATTCTATTAGTGTTCTGTTAGAATAACATTATATCATGTTCATTAAGTTTAAAAAAATATCACGAAAACGAAAATCAAAAGTTTAACTTAAAATCCAATATAGCGAGGATAGAAGCCTTTTACTTCTACACTCGAAATTTTGGGTTCTACTCCAAAAATTTCGTAAACACGCCATCTTGGCGTGTATTCGAAATTTTTATTTGTGCTTTCACGATATTTTTTTTGTACTTGACAAAATTTAGATGAGGTAAGGCAGAAAATAATAAGGAGAAATTACACTTTATAATTTTTAGAACTTCTATGAATTTTTCCTCAAGACTTTAAAGCGATAAAATAATGCGATTTGTGGTTTTAAATAAATAATTTAAAACTACAAGTTTCTCATCTTTTATATTTTTTTAAAATCTAATCTTATTGCACCTTAAACTGATGTCAAGTGATTTGGATAACGTCCATTTATCATTAAATAAAAAATCGCATTAAAATAAAGTTTCTTACTAAAATTCCGAGAACTAGTAACTGTTAACTATTTAACTACCTACTGAAAATTGTGGATTGCAGAATTGTATTGGCATAGTTTTTTGAAAAAAAATTAATAGAGAATCTAAAATACACCGCTCTTTATATCTCAAATTCTGATTGGGTAACTGCCTTATATTTTACATGTATCGAAAGACAGTGCCAAACAGAGTAAATATCCACCACCAAATTATTTGTGAAAATTAAATGAAAAGTATTAAATGCATATTCAGTATTAACGCATTTTCAGAGAGGAAAGGACTCTTAAGGGCGGTGATTACGGAACACAAAGTATCAAGTATTAAATCAGCAAAGATATTACATAATTGGTTGAGTGAAATATTTGATTAATTTAACCACTTACTTCCAACTAATTTTGTAAGCAAAAATTGGTTATTGCAAATTCTTAAATTTGTCTGACGCAAACACCATCTGGAGGCTTTATATGTCAAAACAGAAAACTCCTGGTATTCCCTGCAAATTGAAAAGCAAGGATCCCTTTCTATATTTGGAATGAAATCTTGAAAACCTAGGGGAAAAAATAGCATTATTATCGTTGATATAGATAAAAAACAGTTCGGTCAATTATTAAATTTAACACACCTCTTTTACGATGCAGAACGCGCAGTAAAAATAAACGAAACACTCCGAATAACTTTTGATCAAATGATCGGATTAACACGTACTAGGAGTCAATCTTAAAAGTTAGATGTGGTATTTAAAATTGGGAGGTGGATTTTAAATATACGACATTTTAAAATTCGATTTATTAGGATCTATTCGGCTGATTTCCATTAAATTTCGAATTTTACCATTTAAAATTACGTACTTTAAAACTATGTAAAAAATTGTATATCTCGCAATTCAAAAATTTTTCTATCTTATCACACAAGATAATAAAAAACGATAGTCAAAAAAAAAAAACTTTTTTTTCGTATGGAATTATCTTTAAATAAATAATTTTGCCATTTTCTGCAAGAACTTTTCAATTCTCGTAAAAAAGTTTTTAAAATATGGCGAATTACGTAAAAAGTAAAATTAACATTGAGGGATTCAAACCATATTTGCCAGAAATGTTTGAATTTGCTGATGATATTGCTGCACTCACTCGAACCCGGGGGGGGGAGCTCTCAAACAGGCCTTTCTTTCCTTGGAAAAAGAGGCAAAGAAAATGCATCTTTTAATCAACCAAACCAAAACCAAATACATAGCGACTATCAGTTTTAATGACACCAATCTCGAAATACGTGACTATAACTTTGAAGTAGTCAATAATTTCACCCATTGCTCTGTATTGAGCACTGATCTGTATTAATGAATTACGTAACAAAATAACAGCTGGTAACAAATGTTTTTATGGAGTACACAAACATTTTATATCTAGTTTCATCAGCAGAAGAAAAAAATTACTGCTCTACAAAGCTTTAATCAGACCCATAGTTACATAAGCTGCTGAAACGGGGGCAATGACTGAAAGTGATAAGGAAGCTTCAATGGTTTTTGAAAGAAAATACTGCGAAGTATTTTTGGGGGTGTAAAGTTAAAGTGTAACGATATTTGGAGAAGAGAAACAAATTCAGCTTTTTAAAGGATCTACAAAGAACCAGATATTATAAAAATTACATCAATTTAAAGACTAAAATGGGTTGGACACCTGATTCGAATGAATGATGACAGAGCCACCAAAAAGATCTAGAGGGAAGCTTGGTACTTGATTCTGGAGAGGGGTCCCACCCCGGTCCGCCATCGAAGAAGATGAAATATTATTTAATGTTTTACCATATAGTAATTATTTAACTTTTCTTTTGAAAGAATTTTGTAAAGCAATCTAAATATTTTAACGTTTCATAAATTTATTAATGCTAATTTTGCAGACAAATTTGACATCAGACGGGTCTTTGCAGGCAAATTTCCATATCTATCTTATGAAGAATTTAGAAAATCGACAGGAAAAATATTTGGAACTTTGCGTGCTACATTACATTAGGCGGGGCTTTACAGACAAATTACCTTAGCTATCTTTATGAATAATTTAGAAAATTGACAGGAAAAATATTTGAAACTTTGCGTGCTACATTACATTAAACGGTATTTCACATACAAATTTCCATAGCTATCTTTATGAATAATTTAGAAAATTGACAGGAAAAATATTTGAAACTTTGCATGCTACATTACATTAGAAGGGTCTTTACAGACAAATTACCATATCTATCTTATGAATAATTTAGAAAATTGACAGGAAAAATGTTTGGAACTTTGCGTGCTACATTACATTAGACGGGGCTTTACAGAAAAATTTCCATAGCTATCTTTATGAATAATTTAGAAAATTGGCAGGAAAAATATTTGGAAGTTTGTGTGCTTTTCTTTAGGTTCCAATGGAATGGGGGGAAAAATTCCAAGGTGGAATGGTGTTAGTAAACAACTTAGTTTCGCTAGATATAATGAACCAAAATATACTTACCAATTTTTTCCCGCATAGGTTCACCAACTTCATAATATATTCTTATGATAAACGCAAATTGGTAATGACGGTTGTGATATTCAGTCCTGTGTGTGAATTCGGGATCTACAAGAGTTCTGTTTCGAACCTTGTAGGGAGGAGTTTCTATTGTAATAATACGCCCTGTTAAATGAAAATTACATTATAAAATGCGTATGCAGGTTGTGTCGCAATAACGTGACCAAAATGAAAGAGCAAAGAAAGAATACAAAAATAATCAAAAACTCACATAGAGATTCAAACAATATTCAGAGCCACTAGAAGGGGTTGCAAATTGTGCGTAATATACAATGACAGTAAACAGAGCTGCAATGGCTTGGGAAATAGAACATTCGCCTTCCAAAGAGAGGATCAAGGTTCGAATCCCAGCGGGAGCTGGTTGATACGAATTCTGATCCAGGCTCACACTGACCATAGTGCTGATATAAAACATCCTCAGTGATAGACGAATCACAGGTTAAAACCCCCTTACCGTAAGATGTTTTCGTGTTTTTTCTCTCCATGTAGTGCAAATGCAGGTCAGTTCTATCGAAAAGTCCTCCATTCTAATTAGTTTGTCCAACGCTTGATCAAGGAGTTCCCTTGTTTTCTGAATTGGGCTCAAAATTGCAAGGCTATGCTGTTGAAAATTGATAGTCGAAAAATTTAGAATTGAATTGCTTGTTCAGTGCCGGTTGTAAAATGAAATAAAAATGGAATAAACAAACGCCAATTTGCACCATTTATTTATATTGCATTTGCATACACGTTACACTTATTTGACCAATACAGGAGAACGTCGAAAGTTTTTGGCAGACGGTTGAACGCGCAATCAATGCTGATTAGAATGACGCACTTTCTACAACAAACGTATAATTTGCTAACTCTTCTAACGGCTCTCAATATTGTTTGCAAGCCTAGGTTTTTGATTCTTTTTGTTTTGCTTTGTTATTTCTTTTTATGCATCTGCGTTTTGTTTAGGAAATTCTTAACCGAAAAATTCCTAATTAGAAAAATTAGTTACTAAATTCGCATTTATTCTTATTTTTCAATTTTTTAAAAGTTTAATTTTTTATACAAAAATTGACACCTATTTAAACAAAGATGTATTCTTCTTTGTTGCTTAAATCTTTTTCCCTACGTCTAACAAGATTCCCAATACATCGTTTTCGTGTAAAAGTTAGTTTAATCGAAAAACTCAACTGTACTATTTGTATACTGTAAATACAACATCACAAACGGTTATTTCAGCTATGACACCCTCTCCACACACACTAAAAATGTCACGAGGAGCTTTTGAGGCCATGAAACCTTGATTAAAAGTAAGAAGAAGGCGGTTTTGAAAATGCAACAGTTTCTCAAATAGACATTCCTTTACTTACATTTCTTTTCTTTTTTTTAAAAAAAAAAGATTCCGGTCAAACAGAGCTTCCTCTTTCGAATAATTTAAAACATTTAATGGCATGCATAACTTTTAACTTTAAAATAGATGGGAGCTTAGTTACTAACGTTGGAGACTGAATGTTAAGAATTGAAAAGATGCATAATTTATACTTTTAAGTACCTGAGTTGTTAAGTGCCTGGCGTTCGCACTCTTGGCGTTTTAATTTACTGTCAAAATAATGTCTTTATATGCTACTTGTCAACAGTTTGTTGCCACATGTACTCTTAAAACACTATAAAATTGTCATTTAGTACATTTATCCTTTGAGATCTGTGAAATTTAAATGGAAAAATAAATTAATAATGTGTAGTTAAATACGACTAAAAAATATCTTTCCCTAATAAATATCAATCTCTTCCTACACGTCCCTTAAAAATTTTTTTCACTCAGCTCTTAAATTACAAGTAGTTAAAACGGGGAGGAGGGAAACTGAATCTCATCAAAAAGAAAAATTAAAGAATACTAACTTGTAAAATTAATTAAATGCTTAGAAATGAATGGAAAAAAACATGTTGTGAAAATACTGGAATACAACACAAAACTTTACACCGTGAGAATTTTTTTTATTTAATGATTGAATGTAAGATATGTCAACCAAATTAATATTACTTAAGAGGATAATTTAAGTTAAAGAATCAGTTTCGAAAATGTACACACTCTAAATATTGAGTAATGAAAATTAACACCATCGTTGATATTTAATTTCAGATAAATATAAGTATCCTTTTTTGAAACTGTTAGAAGTTTCGCAACCTACCAAACCATAGCATTGTTCAAATGTCTAGCAACTTTAATATGGTACAAGTTTGATCACATTATCGTACTTCTGACTTGATTACACGATACTAATAAAGCTAAACTTGAACGGAACGTCATACTATTTAGCATCTTAATAAAGCTTCAACAAGGTTGTACCTTTTGATTTACCATCATTTCAGAGAATCAGTACGAACATTATTGACAACGATTAACCTTATTTTCCTGAGAGTACATTTATATACTAAAATATACCTGACATTTTCATTTAATACCTCACATAGGTACATTTATACCTGATGCTTAACTTAGGTATATTTATACGTGAAATATAACTGACATAGATACATTTGTATAAAATATACCTGACATCTATAACCACAGAAACCACAGGTACAATTTAACTCCACCTTTTTATGGTTTCGTCAAGGCTCTGTGCCATTTCAAGTGTCGAAGTATAATGGTTAAATGTTAACTTTTTCTCTGAGAGTATATAGATCATTTTCATAAAATATATCCGTCATTCATATGAAATTCTACAACTACCGAAACGGGATACAATTTACCACCTTTTTATGGTACAGCAAGGCCATCTGCGTTTTCTGTTTCAAAGTACAGATATTATAATTCAATGTTAACTCGTTTTCTGAGAATATATAAATCATTTTCATAAAACGTACCTGCTTCCATATGGAATTCCACAAAGAAATAACAGCTTTGTACACTTCGCTAAAAATCTTAGTAGAAAATAAAATTTAAAAAATTTACCAGGAATCGGAGATGACTGAGATTCCTCATTATAGCGCATAACAACATCTCCTAACTTCTCAAATTCAGGAAAGCCAACGAGGTCATTTTTACCGTATGTAATTTTAGGTATCAAGTTAATGTAACCAATTTCTTGCACGTTTTCCTCCCCAGGTGGAAATCTCTGCAGCCATAATCTAATAAAAAAAAAGATATGTTGAAGGTACATAATTAGTGCTTGAGTTGTAAATGCAATTTAAATATTGATTGCTTTTTATCTTAATTTTTAAACTGAGTGCTAATTCTGTATTTATCATTCAATTTAATAATTGAAAAATGCAGGAAATTTAAAATGTCTGTCTTTTCCCAGGCGTAGAAATACCTACCTCTGAAAAACAAGTTTCGCTGCAAATTTTTCAGGACATAAGAATTTCATAGGAAAAAAAAAAGAATCACGGGAATTTAACCTGCATCAAATAAGTGTACAATTAACAATTTCAATGTAACTCATCAGATTTTTATTTGATTAGAAGCAGTGTTTCTTCAACCTTTAGATGTGGGGACCCCATAATAAGAGAATTCGCAGACTTGTTCAAAATCGGTTTGATTGCGTTTCAAGCTTTGTGCATTTATGATGAAAGTAAAGCCTCTTAGCACGTTTTCGAACTGGTTTTTGTTTGTATTCAGAGCAAAGGACAAGCAGTTATGAGGAAAATATTACTTTTTGACTTGAGGCTAGACAGAACTTGAAGGTAACAGTTAATTTAGCCACGTCATAAAATCAAAGGGTGGAACGAATCCAAAGTTGTGGTAAAAAGCGTATGTCCTCATGTTAATTTTAAAGCGAAATATTGGTGCATTTTGAATCATAAGCAGCCGAATTTGCTCGGTTTAACTTTAAAAAGGTATCGAGTTCAAGCATGTGACAGCTCAGATTGTTCAGTCTAAAGCTTAATTACTGTGCTTGGAATAAGTTTCAACTAAATACCTGATTAAGTTTGCATCAATTAAAGACCTTATTTGAAAAGTATTCAAATTACATCTTTGTGCATTTTGTTTTCCTATCTTGTCTGATTTGTGGTGCCTTCAGTTTGGCAGTCGAATTGGCTGTAGGTAGGGCTGGATTAAGCCAATGATTAGGGGCCCCCTTAAAATGGATTTTTTGAAAGTAAATTTTAAGGAATTAAGAAAAAGCAATGATTTTTCAAATTTTTTCAAAATGTTATGATTATTTTTTAGTTCTAATTTAATAAAATAAAGTAAAATGTAATATATTATTATTTATTTTTAATTTAAATATTCTTTCTTAAATGAAAAGATCTACAAATACTTTTATATTTGAATAAATAAAAAATATACGAGAAAAAAATTTAATCTAAGGGCCCCAAAAATTTGAATGGCCTAGGGCCCCGCGAAAGCTTAATCCGACCTTGGCTGTAGGTGTACTAGTTTGCGACTTGTACGCACATGAAATGGCATGCATAAACATGAAAGTGAGAATGAGACTATCTCTATTCAAACTAAGAACTATTCAAACAAGACCCTTCAAAACAATATTTAACAATATTTATTTTTCAATGTTCCAATGCGGTCAAGTGACACTGAGATTTCCAATCAGGTATCTAAGCCTTGACTCATATAACGATATGGTAAATTTGGAAATCAACAGTACAGTGTGTTGCTGAGTTCGGTTTAACTATGTAGACAGACCAAAACAGCTTTCTTTTCTTCATAAATCTTTTGTTAGTTCTTTAATTTACATTAATGAAAATTTCATCTCATTTTCTCCTTATATAAATTTTTAGTATGTTACGTGAGATTTCTAGAAAGATATCATGTTTCCGATTGAAATTCTTGTTTAATTTACAAGGGATTTTTTTCACCATTTTTTGCTAATTTTAAAGACATTTTTGGGGATTCTTTATGTCATCAAAAAATCCGGGCTCTAATAATACCATTCAAGTTGTTGTTGTTGTTAACGTATGCCTGTTTAGGCAGAGAGGGTGCGATTGTTCTTGTTTTCCAGTGGCACCATCTATGGCCAAGAATTCGACTTCCAAGAATTCGACTTCTGCCACACCATACGTCACACCCGTTTATAGGGCGGACCCAATCATTCTTTCATCCACAGATCGTAATTTTGACCTGAATTAGAGAACGATCGATCTCCAATCCAGTACCCCCAGAGGTATTGATTTGTTATGGGAACATGGAGGACTTTTGCAACTCGACAGATGTAACGTGCATCAGTCACTTTACTGCACGGGGAGTCTTCGGCCGGTGGGGTTCGAACCCACGAACTCTCGGACATGGACCCAGCGCCCTACCGACCAGGCTATCCCGGCCCACCATTCAAGTTGAAACTACTAATTAAATCAAGCTGTCGTGTAAGTTTTGTATTACGCAACCCTACTCAATAGTATGGTTTAACTTTACTAGAAACAATGGATTGCACTCTCATACGTTAGCTTCAGTAAGGCCCCCGTAAGTAAGATTTGAAGTAATTGTGCATTTATTTTAGTTTTCGATGCTTCATATCTTTACATTTTGATGGCGTGGTTAACGTTACGAAGACAAAGATGCAAGCACACTGTTTATAACCGTTAAATGTTGTTTTCTGTTCAAGCTTACCTTTAAACTAAATAGATGAACAGGGAATTTACTCAATATATACACAATAATAAAGTTTCACAAAAACAATGTTCATTTTTTTACCAAATTAATAATTAAAAAAATTCCTATATTTTTGTTCAAGGCACTAATAATGTGATTGTAATTTTCCTAAAAGTATTAGAAGTGCCTTTTTGAAGTGCTTGTCTTGGAGCATCTAGTATAACAAATTTTACATCATATATTAAAGAATTTAAAGTATTTTAATAAAAAATACATATATATTTACCTGAGTCCTATGATATGGCGGAGTGAGGCGTTTTTCACATAGACCATTTTTGATGTATCAACCACAGTATTGTTGAAGGTGAACTCTAAAGTTTCACATGTTCTTACCTTCCAATGGGTGTTAAGTTTCAACCAATTATTGGCATGATTCATCAAGGTCCTGAACAGTTATAACATTGTAAGGAATTGCTAATTTTACTTACATGCATGTTGGGGTATGTTCATATCATAAACAACTATAATTTTTGTGTGCATAAGCTAAGGATGTTATTAAAAAGAATGTAAATTTGTTTTTTTAATTGTTACTGTATAACCAGCGTTGAACAGCCAACCTAATTCTGAGTTTACGACAATCAATTTTCTGCTCCGTAATCTTGCAATTTTGAACCCTACACAAAAGACGAGATAGCTCACAGAACAAGCATTGAGGCAAGCTAACCTTGACGGAGGACTTTTTGATGGAACTATCCCGCAATTGCCTTACATGGAGAGGAAAACCACCCACTGTTAGCCTGACGGCAAGGGGACTCTAACCCATGATCCTTCCACCACTGAGATTATTTCACGTCAGCGCTGTGGCCTGTACGAGTCGGGGGCGTAATTCGTATCAACCAGCCCTCTCTGGGATTCGAAACCGGTTCACCACATTGGAAGGCGAATGCTCAAAACTGCGCATAATTGTTGGCAGCAGTGGTCAAGAGAAGGCACTGCTTCAAGAAGATCGGGCTCTGCGAGTCGAGAGCAGAATTCTTATCTACCAGCCTCCGCTGTGATTAAAACCTGGGTCACCTCAGTGATAGGCGAATGGTCTATCCTTTGATCCAACGAGTGCAAACTGCTTGTCAGTTTAAAAAACTAAAGTATACATATACAGTCAACTGAAAGTGCATATGTGCTGATTTCTGAATTTTTAAAAGTTACAAAATTGCAATTTTGAATAACTAATACAAAAATTGTAAAACACAAACAAAGGTATATTTGTAGACATACCTTGCATACTTACCAAGTTTTTTCCTTCTTCCAGAATGAATAGCATGCACAGTAGAGCGCCTATTATCCGAATGGCAATTTACTGGATCGTTCAATTATCCGGATAGTTCAAGGATCATGAGTTTTTCCCACCTTCTCTCCCCTCCCCCCCGGCAAAAGAATAGCATCACTGTTTCTTCAATTTCAGAATGTCTGAAAAGGTTGAAAAAAAATGGCTTGTTTCTGTCCATTTGTCACCTTTAAAATTATCTCTCGTTCATTCTTAGTTTCACTGTGGCAACTGGCAAGTAGTTTCTTATAAGAGAATTCATCATCATCAATATCTCGACAGTCCAGGTTGGGACTTGACTTTCTCAAGAAGTTTTAACCAGGCCAACATTTTTCCTGATAGCGGGAACTAATTTCTTCTTTTTTTCATCCAAGAATTAGAAAAAGGAGCTGAAACATGATTTGAAATGCTCTCTCTCTCTCTCTCTGTCTTGAAACACATTTTGACGGTTAATTTCGTAAAAATAAAATGTTATAAAAGTTAAATTTTTTTGAACTCATCATTTTTAGTATACTATAATTGCTCCTACAATTACCAGTCTTAAACTGCAAAACGTATAAAGAGAAGTTACTAAATAACATTCTCATAACTGTTTCTTCAAGTTGTCCAATTATTTGACCTATCATTAACGGCCCTCGGCCTTTCCAATCGGCCATGGCCAGATTTCGTAGTGGCCATCTAAAGTGTTTAAGGTTTCAAAATGGGGAAAAGACTTTCCAACCTTGTTCCTGCTCACAACCTGCTAGTCCTGATCACCTTCTTTTTTTCCTTGGTGCTTCTTTTAAGCAGCTGCTGGTTGATTGGGACTTTCTGCAGATATATGAGGAACTGACGCAACGGGGCCTTCTGGACCTGGTCTAGACTTTCCTTCTCCAGGGGAATGTGTAACAACAATTATTTGGATTTTTCGATATCTAGATTTAATTTGGTCCGGACAATCGGCTCTCTACTGTATTTTTATAATAAAATGGAAAAAATAGTCGAAAAACTTACCGACAAGGCATTTGCTTTACCATTCTTCGCTCAGACAACAGTCTATTATAAATATATATTACATAAATACTCTCGAACTAATTCACTCCCATCTCTAACTCATTTGCTTATTCAAATTATTTTTAAAACTGGCTCACTCCCTAAGAAACTTATTCATTTACTATACTGAGAAACTAAAAGCAAGAAAGGTTCCCAAAGTATCTCTCTCTAATCGGACTGAATTTTTTTTTTCACAAATAGTTTTTCAGTTTCTGATTTCAACGTATAAAATTTATTTTGTCTATATCACAGTAATTATTAAGGTATAAATTATCAAAAATTACAATTTTTAACTTGAGTGTATTATTTATCGTGTATTCATCATGATTTTTTTTTGTAGTAACTTACATCTTCTTTAATTTACATCTCTGCAATCAATACGAAATAGATGAACTGTTTTTTATATATATTATTCCACAGTTAAAAAAATCTAACTGTATAAAAAATTCATCTTGATTTGCAAGGAACGTGACGTACAATCCTTGTATGTCATTCCAGTAACTATAACGCTTATAAATGAGTAAAGCCGGACTGCTGTAGGTTAACCCCTTAATAAATCGGTTAATTTTCAAGAAAACGTCCATAAAAGTGCCTATTTCGCCATATACACGTATTTGATCAGTGCTGACATCTAGTCTAAAATAAACTAACTATCTGCAATAACCTTAAAAATATCCTGGTACTGCCATCTGGTGTGTAAAATGAGAAATAAAATGTTTTCCGGTCAAAAGAAATGAATTAGTTTTATTCTTACTGGAGCGTTACTACTGAACACTCCAGCCTGGAAATTTCCCGGGAGCGAGAAATAGAGGGCAAAACCTCACCCCATCATTTTCACGGGAGCGAGAAGGAAGGGGTTAATATAAAGCGAAATTAAATGTCATTAATGGGAAATAAATAATTTGGCACAAATCTGCATATTTTTGAGACCATGCATTAATGCCACAAAAATACGCAGTACATCATTTGCCATTTTCGTAATTGAGTCAAAAAAACTAATTTTAGGTATGATAAACACTTTTTTTTTCTGCGATTTGCTACCATATCTTAAATGTTGGTAATAGCTCAAAGTCAATTTTACAAAAATGTGTCAGCAAACTTGAATGAGATTCTACTTCCATTGATTTTTTCTCCTAAGCTCATTCAATTTTCTTGAATAGAATACCTTTCTTAAAACTATTTAAAGCAAAAAATTCAAAGTATCAAATAATCTTGCAGTTATTAATTTACCAAATGTTGCATACTTTATTCTTGTTTGTGAGTCATCAAATAATTTTGCAGTTATTAATTTACCAAATGTTGCATACTTTATTCTTGTTTGTGAGTCTTTCACCACCATATAAGGGGTAGTTGATTTAAATATCTAACTGGAAGCTCTTCTTCACATTTTAATCAAAGTACTTTTACATTTAAAGCTGGAATTTATTTTATAATAAAGTGAAAAATAGAAGAAATAAATTTAAAATTTTTATTTCTTTTCAAACAATTTTCTCGAATTCTTCAAGATTATCCTTTGATTGAAAATTTATTAATTTTTCCCCGATAGAAAGTCTGCAATTAACTTGAAATGTTTTGGGAATATTTACTGAACCATTTAATGTGGAAGTTTTGTAAATGCAGAAAAATATTTTATTTCTTCATTTTTTATTTAAATCTCTTAAAAAATACTGATTCATCAAGCGCTATCTCCATTTATCAACACTTAGGCTGTTGTTAAAACGTGTCCTATCCAGCGAATATAGAAAAGAATATAAAAGCATTTCCACGACATAAACTTTCACGTCTCAGCATTCAAGAACTATGACTGGTCTTTGATAGTAATCCAGATTATTGATACCATTTTTGACAATAACAAAGTTGATGAAGAAAAAAAAAAAAAGAAAGATTACTTCAAAGGATGAAAAAAAAATTTATAGGAAGCATAATACTTCATACGAGAACGTAATACTTGGGTAAAATCTGCAATGGATAAAATTTTGTTTCGTGGAAATGAAAAGCAAAAGCATTTGTGTGCTAATTTTTTAACATTTTCAAACTTATTCCAATGCTGTTTTATCTGGGCTCATAAAAATTGTGTTCTAATTTGCAATTGTGTTCTAAGCATTCGTGTTCTAATTTTTTAACATTTTCAAACTTATTCCAATGCTGTTTTATCTGGGCTCATAAAAATTGTGTTCTAATTTGCGATTGTGTTCTAAGCATTTGTGTTCTAATTTTTTAACATTTTCAAACTTATTCCAATGCTGTTTTATCTGGGCTCATAAAAATTCGGAAAAAAACTGAGAAAAAGGCAGTGTATTTGATAATTCTTATCTAGGGCTGAACTATTCTTCACATCTAGATAGTATATATAGTTAAAAATTATAGCTTTGTTTCAAGTGTAAGGCACTTAAACTCTGGCTTTTTTGTTTTAATTCGCGAAAGAGCTTTGAAAAACCATGTTAAACGTAGTTCCATACAGAAATGAGAAAATGACTGCGACCATTGATATTCTGTTTGGCAAGGTTCGATGTGATGTCATCTAAGTCACTAACTGCATACTTTTACCCCCATGGGAGTGTGCACCGTTGAGAATTATGACATCATGGAAGAAAAAGATTATTGAGGTAACATCTGTTTCTCTTTTAACGAAAATAATTTAGAACATTAGGAAAGCAAAACGATCAGATCCTTTTCTCTTTTCCGTTCCAAAATCCTAAACTTTGGAAAAATTCCATTTATAACATTTTTCCTTTCAATCTTAATGACGTATGGTTGCAATGCTGACTTGAGAAAAAAAGAAAGAACCTGAATGATTCGTTGCTCTCTGTTGGCTTTTAGGTAGAAATTTTGACTGACTAGCTTAAAAACGTACATTGTACCAAAAGTGTCTGAAATTTCTGAAGCACAATCTGTAATCATTTCCCGTCTTTATTCCTGTTGAATCATTTTCCGTGGGCCTTTAAGTCCACCATACTTTTATCATAAAAATTACTGAAAAACGAAAATGGTAACTTAAGTTTATTTTAATGAAAATTATCATTAATCCATATCAAAATAATAGTTTAATTCATACTTGTATTTTCTAAAGTCAAACATAGTAAGTTTTTAAAATGTAATTTATTTCCTCGCAGTGTTTTAAGCAATAAATTAGTTTGTGGAACGTTAAAGGTAGGAAAATATATTTATATTTTTAAGTTAAATTAATTGCTTTCTGTTTTACAGTGTTGCTGTGCACAGTTATCGAACTTACAAGCTTCACGTAAAACAATATTTACTTATTTTTTTACAAATATTTATTTTAGTTTCATATTATCTTCCTTTTTCTTATCATAACTTGATTCAAAAAAATAAATATTTCGGTTAAAGGGAATAGAGAAGTTATTTTTTTTTTTAAATTTTGTGTGTAAATAATTTTATTTTATTTTCATTATTATTACTGTATTTACTTCATTATTACTTCAGGACTAACAAGATATCTTTTATTACTTCTTAATTAGTGTGATGCTGAATTTAATAATAAAAGATGACATCAAATAAAACCAACCTCAAACTCTTTTAAATTTTCATAAAATTAGCAATAGGAAAAATAATTCATATGATTACTCTTTAAGACTTACAAAATTTTAAGTCAACTGTACCTTTATAACTCTTTTTTTTCATTAGGGTTTCATTTGATTTTTGATTATTGTTTTGAACACAGTATTATAAGATAAAATAAAACTAACCTGAAACTTTCATAATGTGGCTTAACTTGCCCATCATTTGCAGGCAAGAAATCCTTATAAGTTATTTCACTGTCATTGTCTTGGGACGTGATAGGAGATTGTTCTTCCATTTTTGTTGGTCAATATTTGCCAATTCAATATTTCTTTTTTTACAATAAACTACAATGTGAAAAGAGAATCAGACAGGCAGTTAAAGTACTGAAACTCAAACTTAAAATTAATTTATCTTGAACTTTATGTTAATGAGCAACTGGAAGAAAAGTCATTAATTAATATTAAAATTATTAATAAATAATTAAAATTATCAATAAATAATTAAAATTATTAAGAAATATTTTAAATTATTCATAAATAATTAAAATCATTAATAAATAATTAATAAATAATTAATAATCAAATTGTTTATAATTGCATACCAATTTGATTGTTTGAAAAAATAATATCATCTGCAAAGGAGATTTCTAAAATTTTCAGAAGACATACTACGATTTTTTACAAATTTTTAAGCCCGCCCGATACAATTTTAACAAACCTAAAAAAAAATTCGAAAAGAAACGTAGCATTTTAATTGACACCCACAGCATCTATGCCGATTAACTTGTTTTCTCAAAATAAGCATTTTTTTTTTCTTTTTTTAAATTTAGGTGGTTAATAAAAACTTATCAAATCAAAGAAACCAGTCAAACATATTGATCCAAAGGAAAGGATTATGCAATATTAATGAAAATATTATTCAGCATATAAGAAACTTGAGCCATAACGTTGTGAAGCAATTGTATCAATTTCATAGTTTCTAATTTCATAAACATTTAATCAATAATTCTTTTAAGAAAAACTGATAAAATCAATCAATGAATTCCTTTAAAAAAATGTGGGGGATTTTTTTTTTGTCTTATGCTTGTTTAGGCAGTGGGGGTGCGATTGTTCTTGTTTTTAGTGGCGCCATCTATGGCCAGGAATTCGATTTCTGCCACGCACAATCACAACCCGTTTATAGAGCAGGTCACATTCACACACAAAGGAGAAAGGACATAGAACACACAAAGAGAGAATTGTCGAAACATTTTTCTGTTGTAACGTATGCAAGTTTTTACACCATTTGTTTAAAATTACATACCTAACAATATAATACCTTACAATATAATACCTTACAATTCAATTTCCTTTCAGTAGATAAAATATATTATAATAATTATTATTTTACATAAAATTATATTCGGATAAATGAATTTTAAAATTGTGCGCAAAAGCTTTTTGATTTGCTTAGCAATTTCCAGAGATATGACGAAATACGAAAAAAGTGAAATTAACATGAATGGGTTCAAACTTTTAATTGCTCTCCTGTATAAATTATTGGGACCATATTGCTCATGGGCTGCAATGGTGGCACAAAACACGCGTTTTGGACTAAGAACAGGTGTAAATATGAAAATACACATTCTTTTCAGCAGTAATACTAGCACAACTCATAGTCAACTTGAAAGTAATCTTCTTTTAAGCAAACTAAAGCATTTCTTGTGCATTTCATTTACTTTATCAATGAAAACTTAAAACCCACTTATCTCAAAACATGATTTTTTGAGTTGCGCCGCTATTGCAGCCCATGAGAGATATTTTCCAGATTTCGGCCACCCTCCCCCTTATTTCAAGAGTGAGAATACCAAAACTGTCTAAAAATTTTAAAATATATATTTTTCAGAGAAAGTACTTTTTTGAGTGTGATATCATAACTTAAAACATCGTCAGTATTAATTTGAACGATTTATATTTAAGGTTAAGTCTTTGAACTATTGAGGTTGAGTAAGCGAAAATCCGATCATTAGATTAGATCAAAAGTTATTCTGAACTTTCTCTTTTTTATTTTGCGTACAACATATCAAATTTGGCCATTTTAATGTGAACTGAATTAGAATACCCGACACCCCTTATAAACAAATTATTAATTTAGTCTAAAATAAATTAAAGTCATATTACATTACAAAATATGTCAACTTTTCCCACATTAATTTTGAATCGAATTAAATTTTTCTATTAACAAGTATACGTCATTTTCATCCGAAATATTCTATTCAAAATCAATTAATTAAAGCGATCGTGATAAATATAATATCCCATTAAGTTGTTAGAACATTTTCAATAATCTATAAATGCAAAGGGGAAACACAAGTTGAAACTAAATTAATAAAATTAAATTGTTACTTTTTACGTCAGCCGTGAAGTCCTCAAAGAATCTCTGGGGAATTCGTGTTTCTTTTTATAGCCTCGTGGAATTATTAAATCTTAAAAAAGACGAATGCTTTTCAAATTAAGCTAAGTCTCCTCGAACATGACATAAAACAAACACTCAGTCAAGATCGAGTCGCACTCTAAAATCTGTTTAAATTTTAAAAGTGTACGCGGAAAATGAGAAAATTGATGTAGCTCCTAATCACGTAATCGGTTTTTAAAAATATGCCAGTCAAGGAAACTTTCTTTTATTTGTCCTCCTACTTTTCAGTAACAGAAGTTTCCACATCGAAGGAAAATTTATACGTTTCTATCTTATCTTATCTTATCTTCCTTATTTAGAAAAGTATTTTTGACTGAAAAAAAAGTATGGGGGGTATTTAGAGGTCCCCGAAATTTTTCATAGACGTCAATTTGTTACACTTGTTTACACAAAGCTTCTTCCCAGCTCTAGTTTTGTATTTCAGGTTCCAGCTATTCACGGACTATGTAGCAGGGCTAAATTTAAGAGAATATAATTTTTAAACAAAACATAAATATTTAGAATAACCACATTAAAAATATGTTATGAAATTAGGAGAATTTCAACTATATACTATATATTTTATTTATACTTTTTATTTACATCTTAATTTTCCTTGACTTTATCTATTTTTTAATTTTTTTCACCTGCCTTTCTTTGTGAAGTAACGAGGCGGTTTCTATTTAGATAATGAATTTTTATAAAAGTTCTTAACGATAGAATAAACGTATTGCTGTTTTATATTAACTGTGTAATTTCGGAATCCATTCTTTACATAGTTGTTCATTTACTTTAAGGAACACGTTTTTCCTTTTGTTTTTTTTTATCAGAATTTTTGCAAGTTGAAATCGTGCAAACTGGCATTTCGATAATAGTTTTGAATTTTTGTAAATTCACTGCAAAAACTGAGGAAAGTCATTATGGAAAATAACAAATGTCTTAGAATATGTCACAAAAAAATGCTCCGATATTAGTTAGAGCTAGCAAGGTGCGAAGTAAAAGCGCGAGCTTTGCGCCAAAGTGACGTCACTAGAGAAAATCGGAGGATTGGCGCGGCAAGAGTTTCTTCAAAGGAGTGAACCAGCCCTTATATTCTCTTTAGCCCTGCTATATAGGTAGTCTGTTAGGAAAAAGCATTGGTCATTTAGTGATGGAATACCGCGAAAACACAACTTTCTTTTTCGTGTCCGCGTACTTGAAATAAATTATAACACAATATCAATTTAGTTAAAACCATGTAAGAACTTAAAAATCGAATTAAAATATGTAAATAATTATGTATAAAATATAATAGTAGAAATTTCTTTTTTCATTAATGCTTCATACTGCCCCCCTTACCCCTGGTGCCCTACGCATGTACTTAGTATGCTTAATCGTTAATCTGGCCTTGTATGTGTGTAAAGCAAGCCCGCATATGGTAATGGGGTAAAAAAAATTCCTGCACAAAAATATTTGTTTCACCAGGAAAATCTTGTAAGGAGCATAAAATAAAAAACGGAACTTTTTAATGACCTTTGACAAAACAATCCAGTTTTCTCAAAACAAGATTTAACCTTCATTCATAGTGATTAATTTGTACAGACGATATTTTAAAATATAAAGACGATATATTTTACACAAACGATAAAACGATATATTTTATCTATGCAGTATCACACACAAAAATGTACTTTCTGGAAACTCTCTCTTTCTCTTTATTTTATTTTATTTATTTATTTATTATTGTTTAATTGTTGGAATTAAATAGGATTTTTGATCTTCAATACTGGGAAGAATACTTGAAGTCTGAGAAAAGTGGCCCAAAAAATTTTGCCGAAAGAATGCACAAAAGTTTGTTCCTAACGTTTATATTTCTTTTTGCGTGGCTCGATAAGTCTCAAGAACTATTTAAGCTAAACTAAAATTCATTGTGCGCAATTATGAAACTAGCTTATTTATAGATAGATCGACGCAAAAAATTATTAGACCAATTTCATTCTAATATTGAAATTTTTGTTACTAAAAATTACTTGTTTTAAAATAAGATAAAAATTTGTAAATCTTAGAATTCAAAATTTCTTAGATTATTACTAAAATTTATCAAAAATTTTATACACTAAACTATTATTAAAAAAAACGAACTGTTTTATGCTATAAAAATATTTCGATTCGAAAAAATAGTTTCAGAGAAAGGACAAAATTAGAGAGAAGCGAAATAAACATTAAGAAATACAAAATTAGTCCTCGTTTTTTAGCTTCATTAAAACTTGACTACATAGTTTCTTAAATGCGTCTTTCCCCCACATTTTGAAGGACTAGAATCCAAATCCATTGTATAAAAAATAGGTTTATTCAGAAAAAAGTATGTTTTTGTGTCTGATTTTGTTACTTAGAAATCGTCTGATAAAATTAATTAGCATATATAAAGTTAGATCTACGAACCATAAAGATTTCATCGTAGTTGTGATAGTTCAATCATTAGACTAAAAGTTATTAAATTGTCCCATTTTTCATTTTGCGCTCTCTACGTTATTGTTTCATAAAATTATTAGAACTATTTTATTCTATAACAAAACATTGTTTTTATAATTTAAAAAAAGGCAAGAAAAAAATAATAACTTATCCGCAAAAAACTTTTAATGTATTAATATTTGTTTGTTTTTTTAATTATATCAAGAACAAAAAAAAAAATTCATTGAAGTCCTAGTTGTAAAATTTCTTATTTTTGTAATATTTTGTACACAAACTTTAATTAATATTACCAACATTATGCAAATAAAATATCAGGAAGATGGCTAGTATTGCTCTAAAATGATTATAATCACACAATAAACAATTAAATAATGAGTTCCAAACTTACGTAATTTATTCTGTCCGTCACCAAGACTTTCCAAAACATTTCCCTCTTCTGCCGTCCTTGCCGTCAGAGACGTCCTTGGCGTGTGGCGTCATCTATTTACAACATTCAGCACTTTGATTTGCGGCTTTGAAAAGCAAAACAAATAATCTTAAAAGGCTGTCTGGAGAATGTCTGGTTTATAAGGTCGCGTTCCAATATTCGCACAGGTGACACTGGTGTAAGCGAGCTAGTCACGTGACCTTAGTTCTCACCGTAATTTAGGAACGATCGGTGCGGTTAGGTCTTGTTCTGGTTGCCATTAACAACCAGAAGCAGACGTCCGTAAGACTTAATAGACCATGTCAACCTTCATCTATCAAAAGGTACCTCAAGATGGAAACTAGTTAACATGTTTTATATACTGTGGAATTGGTTTTTAATATTTATAGTGGTAGTTTCACCACAGATGTACTTAGAATACAAGAATCATAAAATTTTAGATAAAATATATGTGCGTACAAGCGAAAAAAGGATGTTAAAAACCTCTTATGTTTTAACTAAAGCCCTGGATCACCTAGAAGCTACGTATTCAGGGCATAGGTTTTAACTACAAAAGAGTTTTAAAGAGAAGCGCCTCAGAATTGACTATACACTTTAAGTAAAAGAAAACTAGACATGAATATTTTTTAAGGATCGATTAGTCTGAAGATATTTTGATATTTGAAAGAAAACCTATTTTCGATGATTTTCTATTTATATTTTAAATGGGTAACAAAATTTGATAATTAATGCTTTTTTTAAAAAAAAAATTATTTGGAAAAGAAACAACTAATGAATGCGCATAAAATGCTGAAATTCATTGCGAATCGTGTAAAAGTATGTAACTCTAGGTTTCAATTTGAACGAAAATATAGGTGAATTTAACACATTATTAAGGTTGCTACGAACTTGCACAGTATTAACGTTCAAGGTACCGGAATTATGGTTTAACTTCGAGTTGATTTTTCAGAAAGTGAACGTAAGAAAAATAAGTAAACTAAAATGAAACAAAACTATGAAACTTAGAGAAAAAAATTACATTATGACAAAATCATTTTATTTTGTCAAAAACAAGTTTGGTCATCATACCATAATACATACTATACTAAACACTAAATTTTTAAGAAGTTAATAAAATCACTCAAATATTTTTATGACTGATAAATGTGACCAATAAAAAATTATAGTTGCCCTTCAAATTAATTTATCTGTTGACATTTTGTTCATAAGGAAAATACCGAGAAAATCTTAGGGCCCGTTCCAATATTCGCACTGGTGACACCGGTTTGCCGCACCGACCGATCCAATATTGAGACTGGTTACACCAGTGCACTGCACCGATCGTTCCTTTATTCAAACTGGTGTCACCAGTTATGCACGAAGTGCACCAGGTCTCTGGTCGGTTTGGTCAGTTCGCATGACGTCATTACCCTTATTTCTTTACAAAATTTATTATGGATGGTGTTTTCTACACTAGGGAACGCTACAAGCTCGGTGCCGCCTAAATTTCCGGGTTACTGTTTTCGTTGTATTTTAAAGCCATTTGGCATCATTCTGTTTTGAGATTCTTGCAAACAATGTATTTGATTACTTATTACTTTGCGTTTACAATGCTAACAATACTTGTGTTCACAATGCTAAAAGTGTTAACACTAACGTAAGATGGTAAACAGCTTGCAACAAGAACAAACAGTAATAAACTTAGGGGAAAGAGGCCAAATCAAGACTGCCAAAAAAGCGAGTTATTCAAAATCTAGCAGCCGTGTCATCTTTTTTAACATATATCTCTAATAAACTAAAACAAATTTTCGCTTCAAACTCACCAGAGTTTCATAATAACATTAATATCTTATGAAATACGGCAGATTTGAGCTCAGAAATTATCAAACTTATTTCTTTTATTGAAAACAAAATTACCCGTTTGAAAATATCGCTTCGCAGAATAACATGTAGTAAGCAGCTGCAAACTTTCTAACCGGAACTAGAGCAGGCATTCAGCTCGAGATTGTTATTGTTTACATTTCTAATGGAAACACCATCCATACCGCTTCTGAGATCGCCTTAATTTTGCTGTATTTTTGAATCGATTTATTATAAATTTGTTACAAAACTTGTTTTATCATTGAAAATAAATTTTCTTGTATTAAGCTGAAATATAATAATTATTATTGGAAATGTTTTCTGTAGATGAATCGTCTTGACGTTGTTTATTGCAATGGGCATCATTCATAAAAGTTTTATTTCTGGTATTAGTTTGCGTTTATTTTCAAGAGTAAGAATTCATCTAAATTTCGATTCGTGTGACGATTAGTTTTACATGACAGATTCACATCGACAGAATTTAGACTTGTGATTTTGTTCAATAAACATATCGTTTTGTTACTGTAAAAGTTTGATATATCAAACAACTATCCAAAGCCTTATTGTCAAATTTGTAATTGTGATAGAATTTTAAAATCAGTAGAAGATTTATTGCTTCATATGGAAAAGCTCGTGTTTATATATTTTTGTAGTCGCTACATTATCACTTAAACATTTTCGTCCAATGTATATTGTTTTCAAGATACACAAATCCAAACGATATTTGATTGTTAAATAAATTTCTTTTGTGTTGTAAATTTTTCTTATATCCTTTCTATATTCCATATCATCATAACAGGCCTGAAA